CCCCAAAACCCCAAAACCCCAAAACCCCTTTTAGCTCTACCCAAATTGAAAGATTTGTAATTAACTGAGTTTGTAAAAGAAATACAGAATTTACAGACGCATTACCAATTGCAAACTCCCAACAGATTCATTTCATTTTTACATTATTTTTCTTGAATCTGTTTAAGTTGATGAACCTTCAGATGTTAAATCTTTTGTTTCTCTCAACCTGTTGTTCCAGTTGCTTCTAAGTCCTTTAATGCACAATCCCCTCAATATCCTCTTTCAGCCATCTCTATCATCCTCTTTCAACCTCCCTTCCTTCACCTTCCTCGTACAACCTCTCCAACTCCTTCTTCTTTGCTTTCTCCACTATCGACCCCTCCTTTTGTTTAGCTTTTGCTCTAACTTTTCTAATGAAATGTCCTCCTTCAGGTTCGAAATTCCCCCTAAAGGTCAACCTCCTTCCTCTCAACGCAGAACTGCAAGATCTTGGCAGCATTACTATTGCATTGAGGCTTACCTTTGTGCAACTCATCCGTGTCTTCCGACGACTAGACTTGGCTTCTCTTCTTCATAAAGACTGACTATGTAGAGGGCTTCACCCAGAATTAAGAAGGGTGGTTGGTTGAGTTACTGGAGGAATTCTGGAAGTTTAGGATAAGCTTGAAGATTGATAAGTGTATTTGAAAAGTTTAAGGAAAGGGTTTTATAAAATTACAGGACTGGTAAATCTTCTTAGCATACTTGGTTGGGAATCTTTTTGTTGAGAATCTGGAGTCTACGTTGGTTTTTAATTCTTTTGAAGATGATCATCCTGGAAGGTATCTTTTGAGTGTTGATTTTGATAATTTACAGCTGGTTTCATCTTCAGATTTAGGCTATCATTAGTCATTTTTTTATCTCTATTTAAAGATGCTTTGAATTAGATGGAGTAGTTGAAAACATGGATTTCTTTACGCCTTTTTAGTGGATAAACCTTTTCTGCTTTATCCAATATGAAAGTGATAGCTTTAGCTGCTTTTCTTCACCTTGATAGCATCTTTTGAATGATAGGTGAGATTATGAATTTTAATACCTTCAAGATTGATATTGCTAAAATCTTTGGCAATAAAATTCCCGGCTGCTTTTGTTTATTCTCTAAACATTTTCTTTCTCCTTTCTTAAATATTCCTGTTGAAGAAATTCAGATCAGTGGCACAGTGTTCTTTATCTGAGAAATGTGCTTCTTCAATGGATTATTTGAGAAGAACGCAGTTAGAGAATCTTTATCCTTTGTAAGAAAGAGGAAAATAATTAAGCTCTTGGCTATTGGTATGAATTTGAGTGTCTTTTGTTTGAAAATGTATCTGGACTGACTATATAAAAATTCTACTTCTGCCTCTAGTTCAACTTTTCCATCTGATTGACCAAACTTCTTCATTTGGTGTCCAAGAAATATCTGTCTTCTTAGATAGCCCATTCGAGGGGAGTGTTTAAATGATTTTTAATGTCTTTGCAAGGATATATTGCAAAGATTGATAAGATTTTCTTCCAGTTTGCCTGATATTTTTCATAACCTCAGGCTGACATGATTTTCTTCTGTATCCCTTAAAGGGATGCTTTCTGCTGCATGATGAGATTTAAGAACTGCTAAATGCTTTGTTTAATATTCCTATCTTTGAAAAATTTTAAGGGTTGAGCTCGAGTCTTTGTTCTCAGGTCTACCAAGCAAGAGCTGAAACTGATCGATATTTATTGTACTCTTTTTCTAGTGCTTTGTTATTATATTTACTTATACTGGTGGTCCCAACTGAGCTGGTTTTAGTATTTTGGTTATTGTTTTATTAGACTAAAATAAACTAAATGCTTATTTTTTAGGCTTTTGGACTGGAAGCTGGATGAACAATAGACCAAAGAGTAAAAGTCTTAAATGTATATTGGGTAATAAGTTGTTTGAGATTTATAGAAAGATTGATGGAATTATTGATTAGAAGTTAGTCAAGATAAATTGTGATTTCTTTAGATTGAGCTGAGCAAGGGACATAAGAAAAAGGATATGATAGAGTTTGGCTTCTCCAAAATCTTCAAGGCTAGCTTTGAACCACAAAATTTTATCTGACCTTTTAGAAAGCCAACCTTTGAAAGAAAAGCTAGAGGGTACTATATTTTCATCTTCATTCTTTGCTTGGATGTTTATTGGATATTCAAAATTGGGATCAATAGATAGTTTGGAACTTTGCACATTCCTTGCACCTCTATATCTACTTCTATACTTGATAGTAACCGTCTCCTTTTGCTCATCTTCGCTATAATTTTCCTGGGAGGCTATTTTGATATTTTTGTAGGTTAGAGAAAAGATTTGTTCCAGTTCCACACTGGAATAGCAGACGAAAATCATCAAAAAGAAGAAATCTGGGTCTCATTTACCAAATGCATTGATAAATTTTGTCTTTCCCATTCAATTAAATTCTGGGAAAACTATCCTAGGCCTAAATCTTTTAATTGGTGAGGCTACTCGAGCACCATTATCCATTTTATTCATTTTGTGATCATCAGGAAAAAGTTGGGAGAATATTCTGATGCTTCTCCACATCGATTCTTTAGTGCTCTGAGGTACTTCCATTGTAGAGGCATATGCAATTGGATTATTTAAACTTTGATGTTCTTCCCACTTTTTGATAATCAGATTTTTGAAAACCGTGAAATAATTCTTTACGTGCTTTGTCTCAGCATTGTTTTTAAAGAAGTTTAATACCTTATCAACTGAAACTAAATCATCTTTATCGAATTCCTTGACCCTTAAGGGATCAGCCTTACTTTGAAGTAAATTGAGAGAAAGGCTTTTGCTACGGACGCTTGACGATTCTTCCCTTTCAGATGACTTATTCTGGTCACTTTGAGACTGGATCTCTTCATTCGAGGATTCTGTCAACATATTAATATATTTTTCTTCTTCCAGCTTTTTGTTGATCATATAATCTTTCTTTATTTTCTATTTTAGGTTTATTTTTCCAAAGACCTCCAGGAGACTAATTTTTAGAAGACGCATTTAGCTATAAATTAGTTTAGTTTTCATTATTAAAGATTGAAACCATTTTTAAAATATAAGTTTAGGTTCTATTAAATGAGACAAAAATGGTGGTAGTGAAGTACGAAGAGGTTTGAATATTATAAAAATTCTTACGCCATCATGGCTTAATTATAATTGTGAAAAAATTATCGCTTTATATATTCTCACTGAATATAGAAAAAAGAGAAATGCTGTCTAATAATAAACAGGATTTTCAAAACAAACCTAACAACAAAGTAATGCCAAGTTTAATGATGCTGAGCAAGAATAAATAATGATATACTTCTAACAAATTCCTTGTAATACTCAATCTGTCTTGCAGCTCCAAAAATGTAAGTCTATTTTAACCCTCTCCTATCAAAATGACCTATATGAAAAATCCCTTCATAAGAGCAAGTTTGCTTTCAAGCCTGAAGCCAAAGAAGTTATAGAGACTTTTCGTGGAGAAATATACTCACTAAAAATATAATGGACCAGAAGGATCCCAATTTGAGATGATGGATAATTTTTTAAGAAAAATTCATATTATACATGAGCTTAAGCATCAGCCCAACAGTAAATCATTTGAGGCTTATTCTTTGAATATATTAAAAAGAAATTCCAGCGATATTGAAAACATCATAAGCATAAAGAAAGAAGTAGATCAAGAGAATTACACCGTTTCTGAGTCTAACGTTAAGACTCTTACAAAGCCCTCTACCGTTTCAGATGTTGTAAAATTGTATGATAAGATCTGGAACCAGATTATAATTATTATCCTGAATATGATTCTAAAAGGTCAGCCTCTTTTGAGCGAGGGGATGAACTTAAAGAAATGAATAGATATACTAACAAAAAATAGACATGGCCACATCAACCAAAATATTCAATCACATAGCCAAATCCAAAGTCTTTTGCTCAAGAAGACGCTGTTGAAGGTAAGCCTACCTCAAAGTCAAACCAATCAAGCTAAAGTTTTTGAGATGAAAAAAACTAACACTCTCTATGATCAGAAATGAGATTATGAGAAATCTGGTGAATATAAAATAAGAATACTATCATGAAGACCAGATTAGCCAGAAGATCATATTTTCACTATCCAAGTTAAGAAGAAGTATGAGTTGATTAATAAGATGAAGAAAACACTCTAGGATACAAAGAATTAGCACTTTGACTCAACTTCTTCTGAAGCTCGAATCTCTCAAGCAAAGGCAAACTTTTATCCAAATAATTATAGTTCTCTTGTTTCAGAATTCAAACCAACATTTCTATCGATATGTAAATATAGTTTAAAACAATTCAAACAGTACTTAAGTTCATGGGAATTTATTTTCGCTCAAGTTGCAGTAAAGTATGGGGTTAGATTTGATCTCTTTAAGAGCACCCCGCTTATCTAAGAAAGAGTAAATGGATAATATTTTGCTTCTTATCAGTATTAATAAGTCATTATTAGCGTTGGCCTAAGAATACTCTGTCAAGCTACTTTGAAAATAATATCATCCGAATTTCTTTGAGTAGGGAAAGTAAATCAGGTATAAGTGTTGTCTGCCATAATGGTGAGTTTGATTTAGTATTTATTGCTTCAGACAATAAAATTGAGTACCTAATCTCGACACAAGTAAGAGGGGTGATACTTTTAGGTTACGAGCAAGGCATTTTAGAAGTTTACTTTTGAGATTTAATTAAATTAAGGCAAAAAGTTAATTTACTTATAATGCTTTATTAGAAATTTGGTTTCACAATATTCGAAGGTTAAATCTCTAGACGAAAGTTTGTCTAGAAGATAAACTTTTTATATATAATTTCATTCAATATTCCCCACTTTAAAATGGTTTTCTATCTCCAAATTTCAAAGATATCATAATTTTAACGCTCTCTCTTCATTCCACTCTATTTTTATTTACAATTTTTGTAAAAAGTAAAGATACACGATCAAGAGATTTATCCCAAAATCCTATAAACTCTAATTTGTTCTGTTATCCAAAAACTTGAGAAGAAAATAATATGCAAATATCTCTGTGGAATTTCAGAAAAATGGAAATGAATTACACTACATGAGCTTTAAATCTCTTGTGATTAAAGCTGAACAAAAGAGTGTGAATAATTTGACAGAAAATGAGAATCCTATATCTTAGAATAAGCATTTTCAGATTACTTAGTATAAAGTTTAAGGGCTTACCGTTTAGAAACATAAATTTTCAATTGCTTGAGCAAGGTCTGGGGTTTTTTATCACTAGGAGGTAGATATAGGTTTATAACCCAGAAAAATTGGAAATATAAACAACATTCATACAGAATGAAAAATCTCTAGCCTTAAACTTATAAGCAAAGGATGGGTTTATTATCAGAAATCTCAGAAAATACGAGCCTAATAAAGATAAACAATTCAAAAGGGCGATGAGTGTTGAAAGGTGACAGTTAAATTTATGACTATAATAATACCAATAAAACTCTTGAAAAGACAGCAGATTCCATTCAGAATTGACAGAGTTGGAGTAAGTTTTTGTTTGATATTCATTATTCTTAATCTGTCGCACAATTTTGTGGCCTGATCAAATTCAGGGTTTCAAGAAAGAGGATACAATTAAAACAGTGCTAAATTCAACAAGGTTCTCATAAGGTCATCAGTGGAAACAAGAAAAATGCAAGATATTTCAGTAATGGTATCGAGAAGTCCACTCATTATACCTTTAAAAGTACAAGCGGAGGCAAGCTTAAACTTAAAAAAATACAATCTTGAAATAATAGTTAAAAAAATTTTGAAGAAGTATTTAATTTATTTTTTATTCTATACAATGCTGCTGACTCTCCTTGAGAACAAATCCTTCGTCTTCGAAGATTTTCAAGATCATATGTGCCTCAGAACCCAAAAACAGGTGATCATTGTTTGACTCCATTTTAATATTTCAATTATTGACCACCATCCGGGGTTTTGGGGTTTTGGGGTTTTGGGG